CTCTAACACTAGCTAATTCTTCTATTTTATGTTTGAGCAGTCCGAGATGAAACTTTTTGGAGGCGACGCAATTGCTCTTAAGCTTCATTTTGGGAAGAAAATTCAGGAATTAGAGGATGAGAAAATAGCTGTGCAGGTTTAAATATCTTTTAATTTTCATACCTTACTTGAAGAAAAAATAAGCATGCTAACATTTCTTAACCTATTTCTTCACTGCAGCAAGAAAGGGACCGCTTATTGGCTGAAATTGAAAATCTTTCTGCTGGTTCTGATGGACAAAAACAAAAAGTTCAAGATATCCATGCTCAGAAACTGAAATCCCTTGAAGCAAATGTACATAGTGTTTAAGTTAAATGGCATTCATTGTTGGATTGAACAGAAGGGATGATACTGATTTCATTATAATTGTGGATATTTATTTGCACCAGATTCTGGAACTTAAGAAGAAACAAGAGAACCAGGTTCAACTTTTAAAGCAGAAACAGAAGAGTGACGAAGCAGCAAAACGACTGCAAGATGAAATTCTATTCATAAAGGCACAAAAGGTTAAATCTTATGTTTGTCTTATATCTTTTCTTATGGTTAATTATGATATATAGTATACACTCTGCCAAATCGCCCCATCTTCCCCCCTGCCCTTTTTTATTTTTTCTTCCCTTGCCCATCATGTGGCTGTAGGTTCAGTTGCAACATAGGATAAAACAAGAGGCAGAACAATTTCGTCAGTGGAAAGCCTCTCGAGAAAAGGAACTGTTACAGGTGCCTTACTTCTTTTGTTTCTATCAATCTAAGCAATTTATAGCGTGTCAGATTCTTAACTATTGCACACATTATTGTGGTGTACATGAGAACAAAGATAGTCATTTACTGCTGGAATTATATTTTGGATTTGTGGCCAGTATTTGCATACACTGTTTGTATTATATGTTTAACTGGTTCTAATTGCATGCACAACCAGTTACGGAAAGATGGCCGGAGAAATGAGTATGAAAGGTATAAGCTGCAAGCTTTAAATCAACGCCAGAAACTGGTGAGCATGTTTTAATTTCTTGTGTGATGAGTACCTACCACTGACTGATTTGTTTGTAGAGAAATAATTTGAAGCTATGCATGCTTTCAGGTTCTCCAAAGGAAAACCAAGGAGGCTGCCATGGCCACCAAGAGGCTAAAAGAGTTGCTGGAAGCTCGTAAATCTTCTGTCCGTGACAACTCAGGTAGGTTTTATCCTTTTAAAGATTGATGACCTGGACATTCCATGTCTTATCTAATATAATGCTCTTCATAGAGGCATGGCAATTCAACTGTATTCTAGGAGATATTAGTAATGTCTTATGCTAGAAAGTCTAGTTTTATTTAGGTAAACATAATTCATGCCCTTCCTTTCATTTGTTTTAATTTCTAACTTTTTGTGTCTACCAGCTATTGCCAATGGGAATGGAATAAATGGGCAGGTGATGATCTATGTTTCTCTCCTTTTATTTTTTTGGGTTATTTTCTATACCCACATCTTTAAACCATTTTATGTAACCTTTTCCTGTAGACCAATGAGAAAGCACTACAACGTTGGCTAGATCACGAGTTAGAAGTGATGGTGAATGTGCATGAAGTTCGCTTTGAATATGAGAAGCAAAGCCGAGTGTATATAACAAAATCTTATTTGTATATAAATCTGCTTCGGGATAGATGGACTATTTTTATGTCACTGTCACTCATTACGCACTACCTCCAGGAGAGCTGCACTGGCAGAAGATTTAGCTGTCTTGAAACAAGTAAATGAATTTGCTTCGAAGGGGCTCAGCCCTCCAAGAGGAAAGAATGGATTTTCCAGGTATCTAACGCCCAAACGTTGTACTTTATACTAGCATTTTAATCCTTTTACAATCCAACATGAATTTGAGGAGATTACTTAAATGCAGTTTGTTCTCCTGTGTATAAGTACTGCAACCTCTCCTAACATGCCTTGATATATTTTACTTCTCCACAGGGCAGCCTCCATGTCACCAAATGCAAGAGTGGCTAGAATATCTTCACTTGAGAATATGCTCAGCATATGACATATCCTCTAATTCAGTTGTAGCAATGGCTTCACAACTTTTAGCGGCGGAAGAGCGGGAGCGTGCCTTCACTAATCATGGACGTTGGAATCAGTTGCGCTCCATTTGAGATGCAAAGAACCTACTCCAGTATATGTTTAATTCTCTTGGAGATACAAGGGGCTTTCTCTCACCTAGTGATATGTGTAAATATACATGAAAGTAGGTCAAACATAATGGCCTATTCCTGGAGTTCAACGAGAAAGAACAGAAAACAAATCAATTATGGATGCTTATATAATATGAACAGGTGCCAATTGTGGGAAAAATACATGGAAATCAAGGAAATGAAAGAACAACTTAAAGAACTTGTAGGTCTGTTGCGGCAGAGCGAGTTACGAAGAAAAGAAGTTGAGAATGAGCTAAAATTAAGAGAGCAAGCTGATGCCGTTGCATTGGCTACGGCAGCTACGGTTAGTTATATGGAAACTTTATTCAAGTTTTACATCCAATGCTTTATTTAAGCTTTTCATCCAAGGCATGCTTAACAGGCTAAACTCATTGAGGAACATAGACCTGATCACATATTCTAAAGTTGTTTTCACATTTACACACAGATGATGTTGAACTTAGATACATATACGACATCCAAAAGAGGTTCTGTGAAATTGATTTGATTAAATGACTTCCAACTTCTAAGCATGTGGTTGAATTCTACAATTACAACTATGAATCTTGAATTGCTCTTTTGGAGTTCTTTAATGGCTCAAAAGAATGATGCTCATTAAGATGCTTTGAATAAAACTCCAAATTCTAAAATTTATGAGTGATTTTTTCTCAAGAATGCCAGATTTGGTATAAGACAACAGAACTTGGAAACCCCTTTATATTATCAACAAAAAGTCCTTTATAGTGGCAGCATCTTGAATCTCTTACTGTTTTCTTGAATGACAAACTTCCTCCTCAAAATGTCCTCATCATGATGGGGGCCCTTCCCTTAGCTACAATTGAGTCTGCATTGTTTATCCCTCATAGAATGCCAAACCTTTGTTCAGCTGACTAGCTAGAACTGCAATCTGCATTGCGTCAAGGAATCTCAAAAACAGGATTCCTCCTAAAATATAGGGTTTTCTTTTGTAGTAAGACAAATAGAATTTTAAGGTTATTGTACAGGACCTGTTACCACTGTTTTATGTATCAACATCATTGCTACTCCTAGCACTACTTTTTGACAGAAAGTATCCATGTGCAGGGGAACTCTCCAAATTCGCTGAAACATGTTGCTGATGACATTAACGGTTCGTTATCTCCAATGTCTGCGCCAGCACAGAAACAGCTGAAATATAGTCCAGGTATTGTTAATGGTCCAGCAAGAGAATCAGCGGCATTCAGGGATCAAACAAGAAAGGTAACTTCATTGTCCAACTTGAATCATAGTGCTGCAATCTGCTTTCATGCTTAGCTAAGGAAAGTTGGATTTGCAGGTCATGCAGATGGTACCACTTGGGCAGTTACCAATAAAAAAGTTGGTAGCTATAGGACAAGCTGGCAACGGCAAACTGTGGAGGTGGAAAAGAAGCCATCACCAATGGCTCCTACAATTCAAATGGAAATGGCAGAAGCCATGGAGACTTTCAGAATGGATCAGACACAGTCATGAAACACTAGTAAGGGCAAGGCCTAGTTCTCAAACCCTGAAATATAGAGTCTGATATTCGATGGTCACCCAATTACATTGGCCACAGTAATCTTTGGTTATATGCATGTTCCTAACCAAGGTGCAGGTGAAGCCTAGAAAAGAGATCAGGTATTTTTTTTCTACCTTGTATTTTCATGTTGCCATGTTGGTATAGCCTCCAATCATATGCTATTCATGCTCTTGTTACAAATTATATTAGATAGCATGAATTTTATGTCATTAAGGATAAATTACATATTGTCAGCTAAAAACATGGCATCATTTTTGCAAATTTCAACTCGAGAAAAATGAGTTTTGACAGTACATGAAGAACAATTTACAAAGTAAATTGAACTAATTGCAAGAAACTCAAATTTGAAGGCTAGGGTAGTCAACTCTAACACAAATGTCCTAGAGGGACTAATGGCTTATGAAAATCATGATCTGCTTGGTTGAACACGATTGAATCGGCAAAACCCTGTTTCCCATTCATCAACGTGCCTGAGCCTTATGGTATCTTTTTCTTAGTTGATGCAGTGTATTGGAACTGGCTGTTGGGATCTGCATGAGCCGTGTTTGGTTTAATTGATTTTTTTGATAATATCAAACGTATAGGTCTGTAATCTTCCTTTGTTTTGTTTTTTTTGGGCTGTGAGTACGAAATCTGGAGCATCTTGTAAAGAAGTGTTGATGCTGCCGTGTCAGATACGTTGAAGACGTGAACATGGGATGGTTCCAATGGCAATAAAAATAAGTATATTTGGATTTTACTTGAGCTGTCTCTAAGGTTTTGCTGTGTTTTCTATCAAGAACACACTTTTAGGGAAGAAACTGGTTGTAAGTGGTAGAAACTTGTATTAAAGCTGCAGTCTAATTGTATTTTTCTTTCACATTTTCATTTTTTTACCCAAATTTGTAATTTATTGGTCCATATATTTCAGCATGTGTGCAAGCTTGAAGCCTGTAGCATTTTCAGGTGTTATATGAGGAAAAAATATTCAATTCATTTCGTCTCTCCCTGGAAATTGGTTTGAGTTGAAGTCTGTCCATATTGAGATTAACAAACGATGAGATGCCTCAGAAGGCTTGTAGAAGAAAGTAACTGCAACTACCTACCTTTTAATTTTTTTTCTAAAAAAATTAAACGTTGACCGGCCATTAACATCAACTGCAACTGGCATGATGATGATGAATGATGATGATAAAGTTCTTGTATCCGAGATAATGAAAGCAAAGAACATGGACATGGAAGCACAGAAAAGTACCCATGTGGATGTAGGGGCCATGACTATGAAACAACGTAAATAATGTCAGAAATGAATTCCTAAGGTAACAATAGCAGCAGTTGCAATTGTTATCTTGGAGTGTAAATATGTTGGTTTTACTTTTCTCTATTGCATACTGTAATCCTACAATTAAATGCTGGTAACATCATAAATTGATTTAACATATCCCAGAAAGTGGGTCAAATTCACCATCCTCCATTGACGCTGCTTTAACCTCCTGTAACATCTTCAGAACCTGCCACATCGTGGGTCTTTGTTCGGGAGAGCTCAAACTACAAGCAACGGCCACTTCAATAAGCATTCCTAGCTTTTCATCATCCCCTCCGTCATCTTCCCTGCATGACCTAAACCAATGCATCATCTCATCCGGAACCAGACACGGGTGCTGGGAAGGAGGTTTCCCTGTCAGAAGCTCTAACAACAAAACCCCGTATGCAAAAACATCGGACTTTGATGTTGCCTCGTGATTAGAATTGCGCGTTTCCAGAGGCTTACATGCAATGGAATCAGGATCTTCGTCGGGTACGCAAGTGACTAGGGCTGAGAGACAGTAGTCGGAAAGACCAGCCTCAAAGTCAGGGCCAAGAAGGACGTTAGAGGACTTGAGATTGCCATGGACAAGCCTCCATGCTTGGTGTATGTAAGAGAGGCCTTGTGCTACGTCCTCAGCTATTTTCAGGCATGAGGTCCAGTGGAGCGGCTTTGCCCTTGTTGATTTCGATCCTGCACATGCAATTTGGCGTTGACAAATTAAGACATGATTTTCTATATCACTTAATCCACATGTTTTTGGGAAATTTCCAACTCAATCAAATTGAAGAAAATGAAAGCATGAACTTGTTACCGTGCACGAGGGAGAAAAGACTGCCATTGGGCTGGAAATCATAGATAAGAAACCTCTCTTCTTGGGCTTGGAAATAAGCTCTGAGAGGCACCAAATTGGGATGCCTTAAGCCGCCAACTGATTCCATGTGTTGCTCGAACGTTTCCTTCGTTGTGGCATTTAATTTCCCAGCATCCAGCCTCTTGACCGTCACCACTAGACGATTATCAAGCACTGCCTTGTACGTCGTCCCCATTGTGCCCTTCCCAAGCAACTCAGCTGACGCTCTCATTAGCTGGTCCAGCGAATACAACTGCGCCTCACCCGCACAGAATATCAAGTTCCCGCTCTTGGCAACTTGCATTCCTTGCACTCTCTTCACTCTCTCTTCCAACTCATTTTCTTGCTCCATTTGAATGACCGCCACAGCTTTTGCTGCGGCCTCCCCGTCATCAGATTCAACCGCAGCCGTTGATTGATTTTTATCTGTCTGTTTCCTTACCACTATGACAAAGCAAAGAAGTGAACCGATAAGAACAAACACCCCGACGGAGAACCCTATAATAATCGCGGTCCTTTTGTGCTCCTTTGAACTTGGCTGAGGCTGAGCCAACTCCACCCCATGCACTTCTGCACTTTGACCAAGAGCCACCGTAGGCGGTGGCTGCGGCACGACCGCAGCTGTGGGACCAAAAAAGCGTGGCCTTGGATGACATTCTTTGCGGATAATTTCTCCACAAAGACCAGGGTTCCACGAAAAACAAGAGAACTCAAACCGTAGCAACGTTGGGGTCACTGGAATAGCACCAGTAAGACTGTTCCCTGAAACGTTAAAGATTTTAAGGGAAGACTGATTCAAAGGAGGAATCGTTCCGTTAAGCCGGTTCCTGTCCAACCGTAGGTAGTATAATCGATCTACAGAAGCTAACGTGCTTGGTATGGAGCCAGTGAGATTATTGTAGGAGAAATCAAGAGTTCTGATTCTGTGAAGGGAAAGAAGAGAAAGAGGGAAAGAACCAGTGAAGAAGTTACGATCAAGGAAGAGGGTTTTGAGGTTGACGAGGCCTGAAAGATCAGGAATCGAACCCGTGAGGGAGTTGTTTTGGAGACTCAAAACGCGGAGCTGGCTGAGCTGAGACAATGTGTTGGGAGCAAAAATGCCACCGAGATCTAGATCTTCTAATATGAGACGTACCACGTTCTGCTGGTAACATGTGACTCCTTGCCAATCACAAAAGTGAAATCTTGCATTGTGAGAGAACCCGATATGGTTTCTCAAATCTGCTTTGGACTGAAAACCCAGAAGGGCAGTAGCCTCAGGGGATGGGATTAGCTTTGCAGCTTCAGCAGAAGCAATTATACTACATAATACTAACAACAAAATGTAGAAGAAGCTGTGAAGAAGAAGGGGTTGTCTTTTCTTCAGCATTTCTTCTCCAGTCTCAATTTCTCAGTGTGTTTTTCAAAAGCAATAAGCTTAGTTGAGTAGTCCGTCTCATTCCCCTGAATCAGATAGGGCAAATGTTGGGAAGAGACAATATGAAAGACAAAAGCATGTATTAGCTAGGGGAGCAGCTGTCGGAGTGCAAGCTCAGAATCACGTGAACCCAAGGCAAAGAATTAGGGGATATAATAATAGAGCTTTTCACCTAAATATCATATTGTTTTTGTAAATTTCTGTACGGTTGATAAACTCGCTCTTTTCTTTATTTGGTAGTTGATGCCACTTGGCCCATTTTCCCATAACCAACTACTTCCACTCCATCTAAATAACTCACCATCCTAGTCTTTGTTACTTTCTTGTTCTTTCTCCGAGAGGTCATTAACATTCAGATATCTGTCTTTCCGTATTCAATATTGGGTTTAACTTTTTTTACATGTGACGCTGTCAAACAGCTGCCACGTGAATTCACACTTCAAGTATCATTAGTCAGTAAACTTTAAATTGTATATTAATTTGTCATTCAATTTTAAAATGCTTTAATTTTAACACTAAAATTTAATTTGTATATCAATATGATTACTAAACCGTTAAATTCCATACGGTATGATGATGTAGAAAGTACTTTATGAAATGTGATGATATGGAGGTTAAATAATATTATTTAAATTGAATAAAAATTGATAAGTGCAAAACAACACAATATAAGTTGTGAGACAAATATTAAAAGTTTTCATTTATTCTCTATAGAAAAACTAGCCATTTTCTCTCTTGAAGTCCCTACTATAGATACTCATCGTTGTCGCTTCTTATTTCGGTGGCTCCTTTAGCTATGGCCCCTTATATAAACCATAAAAAACATGACGTTTGGGAGAATTGGAAATTGGATAGGGTCGAGTTTCTGAGGGTGGTTTTAGCCTACTTATTATTGGGGCTAACATTGAGGTGGGGTTGGAAGACAATTATGGTTTCTGATATAAATGGAAAGGTGGGTGCAACCCGAATAAATGTAGTTGTTGAAGTACCCCAAGTTTAACACCCGACCCGGATACGAGTCCGAGATGTCACATTAACTTTTAAAAACGATATTCTTACGAAATATCAAAACATTTGAACTCATTTTAAGAAAATATCACAATATTCTATTAAATTATGTTTCAGTATAAAAATTCAAGTCAAAACGTATTTATGAACAGATTGCTAAAAACAATACCGAATTATAAAAATTGTCGGCAAAACATGTATAAACTCATAAAAATTTAATCTTTCATCAGTATAAAATTTCCATTCACATATATACGTTTAAAACATTACAAAACTCAATCATATGATCTTACAAAACTAATTTAGAACATACCGGAGTCAAATTTTTATATACATGCCAACCAATATCAGTATTACAAAATACATATTATTCAATTCTTTTCTGATCTGATCTTTGGAAATGATGAACTAACATGTCTTGCGTAACTTTTATCAATCTTCCTCTTCTCGAAACCTACGTGTGAAACAATCACACGCTAAGTCATAGACTTAGTGAGGCATATAAACATATAATAAAAACCATAAAACATTTCATAAATCAAAATGCATACATGCACATATATCATCATATATCATTTCATAAAGAAATACACTTAACATCATATAATTCATGTAATACAGTTCATATAACTAAAAACATATATCCTTTCATATAACCAATACATGAATCCTTTAATTTATTCTATATAACAAATCACATATACATATCACATTCAATATATTTGTTTAATCTCTTTATTAGCCTATGTACACCTGTGAGAACTTAAGGTATGTGAGTACATTGAGGTTGTGCACAAATGCTGTCACCACAGCTCGTATAAATTCCCACTAGGGACACTGAATATTTGTCCCGAATGATCACGTAGAAATGTCCCGAAGGACCACTATGTCCCGAAGGACCACTCCTTAAGAACCATATACATAATACAATGGACCAAATAAGTGTATCGAAATACCACATACATGTTCCACGGAATTACATATATGTCCCGAAGGACCACGTAGAATTGTCCCAAAGGACCGCGTAGACCATCGACTCTTGGCATGCTAACTATACCTATAGCTCTCGTATCATATAACATGGGCATTTTTCTTATGCTTCTTATATTCATGTACTCATATCATTGCTCTTATGATCACATATCACATGTGCATATAATCACGTAGTTTACTTTCATGTAATTCATGTCACTTTTCATATGATTTCATATTCATATGTCACATAGCTCGTATCACTTTGCATGGTTTCACATAAACATATATATCATATCTTGTTCACATATATTTCCCATATAACTCATATCATTTGATTCATGTCTTATTCTTATATCATCATATATATTCATTCACTTAATCTCTTATGTTCATATATCACATATTGCATATTCATGTAATCATATATGTCATGTCACATATAATAACATATACCTATTTTCATATACTCATGCACACATAAGAATCACATCAATCATATAATATTTTAGGAGTCACTTCTTACCGTAGTAACTCTGTCACTGGCTCATCGCAAGCCAATGTTTGATCAATAACATAAGTACAATTAAATTGCACTCACCTTAGCCTTGTTTGCTTTGACTTGATCCTAATTCTTTGATTGTTCCGGAACTTGTTTAGGCTCAATATCTACATGAACATAATTTTTGAGATGATTATCAGAAGCCTAAACTTTATAACTTGATGTTAATAACTTAAGCTAGTTTAATGAACCAAAATTCCATTTTTCCTTTAGGGGGTATCGATACCTCCCCCTAGGGTATCGGTACCCTTATAGAAATCTGTAAATTTTTGCCCAGAAATCAATGTTCATGCACGAAAATTCACTATTTCCAGTTTCATTCCCTTTCATATTATTAACTCAAATACACATACTTAAACCAATTTATATTCATTCATCTCCTCTTAAACCTCAAAATCTTCTCCTCTTTATGAACTTCAAGAATCATATCCAATTTTCAACATGTTTCAAATCCAATTCTAACACTTAATACTTCTTAATTAAGCTGATGACAAGTCAAATTTAACTTCAAATTCAACTCATCAACTCAATTTCAAAATTTCACTCAAGAACTCCAAATCTTTAATCTTCCCTAACTCCTTTATCTTTTGATTTTAAGATAACTTAAGCTTTCCTTAAGTTTAGTTATCATCTAATGATCAAAACCCATACTTAAAATCAACAAATAATCAAGAAATCAGAAAATTCACCTTTGCTTAGGGTGCTTCACGGTGGAGAAGAAGATGAAGAAGATGAAAAAGGGGAGACAAATATATTTTCTTGTCAAATGACCATTTTGCCCTTTAATTCCTTGGATAATTACTAACAACTTTCAGGAAATATTCTCAAATAAATCATTGAACTATTGAACTATTCTACTTTAACCACCAAATTCTGAAATTTTACAATTTGGTCACTAACCCGGTATTGAAGATGTTACACCAAGCCTTTGATTGCCATGTTTCAACTCCCATGGAAATACTAATACCCACACATCAGCTGTGAAAATCAAGTTAAATACATAAGGAGGGGGAATCTATGTCAAAGTCTACAAGTACGACTTAATAAAGGTCCAATACTAAATGCATTTTTTTTTTTTGCAAAGAAGAAAACAATGTAAAGAGCCATCTTGGATTCTAATTGCAGTGCAAGATCGAATCATGGTTTTCCAAAAGGGTAGATGAATGTTTCATCAACTTTGAAGTTCAGGGCCGATTTGGCTAAGTTTTTAATAAAATGCCTAGTGTGGTTTCTATATTTTGTGAGAATGTCCTGCATAATATTTGAACTATAATTTTAAATATTGTTATGATACTTGAGTTCACATTATTAATAAGTATCGCATTTAAAATATTATTTTATGTATTATATGTATCGAGATTAACATAGTATAAAAATGATGAATGAGGGAAATAAAGTTGGTATGAAATAGTAAAAGTGAGTATAATTGAAGGATCAGCCAGTCATACATATCAGCCCATGAGCCTACCGGCTAAGTATGGGCGGTGAAGCTGTTTACCAAAAATTGAGATCCCACTTTATCCAATTTGGACCACCGCCCATTGCATTTGGATTTTTCAAAAAATAAAATAATAAAACCATTATATTATTTAAAATATAAAACTAAGTATAATATTTAATTAAATAAATATAAAATTATAAAATAATATATTTTATTGATTATATAATTTATTTTTAAACATGTTTTTTAACTTTTTAATCTTAATTCCTATAAAATTATAATAAATCAATACAATAATATTTTTTTTACTTTTTGAATAATAAAGCAAATATATATATATATATATTCGTTTATTCGGCTTTCCCCCTCTTTTGAGTGTAGGTTGTTATTGTAGAATTTTTCAGTTGACTCGTAAAATTTATTAATAAGAAGATCGTTTAAGCAGATTCCACTCAAACCAAATTACCATACTCACGATAAAATTGAGCTCATAAACACAAACATTCATTAGATTAAATTCAATCTTTTAGGATCTTTGACATTTCCTTTAACTCATATGATTAAATTTATTATATTATTAATATAAAATTATTTTAAAATTTATTATTCATATATTTATAATATTTATTACATTTTATTACTTTAATTCACGTAAATGATAATTATTTTTATTATGTAAATCTCATTATTTATTACTACATTAATATTCATATATTTTCATATTTAATATATCATATTCCTTTCATCCTATTAAATGTGTTCATCATTGATTTCTAAAAGTTAAAATTTTTAAACTTTAACCATGCTTATTTCAAATATTTTAAACAATTAATTTTTATAAAATATATATTTAAAAATGAATTGATTTAAGGTTTTTTTAAAAAAACATAATTTTATTAATAATAAAATTTTAAATAATAATGAGTCAAAGTTACACAGTTTAACAAAAAAAATGTACAATTGATAGATTTAATAAGAGAGGGGAGTATTAATTATTACTACTATTTTCTACAATGTATATATTTTATTTATAATTATATTATGATTTAAAAATATTTCTATCTTTAAATATTATTATTTTCTTTAT